TGCCCCAAGTGAAGTACCATTATTGCCCCCATTTTCCCCTTGATATTACCTGTCTCCTGTTTTCCCATCTCTTGAGTCCCATCTTCCTCTTTACCCCCCTAGTTCCTTTTATGTCCTTCACTCCTCCATTCCCCATTGAATACCCCTACCCCTAAGTGACACATCTATAGTGAAACCTGTATACTTAAGGTTCATAGAAAATAGTGAAACTGAGATGGACAGAATACTAGCATATCCCTCAACTTTCACTAGTAAAACTTCCTCATACTACAGAGTATGATGCACACAAAAGGCCACAACAGGCAAAATTTTAGAGAATAAGAGACTGTATAGTGCTTTTCTGAGATCTTGTTCTGTCCCACATGGCTCTCACTAGGAGTTTGATAGTGCACAGAACTAAGCAAGAGATGTATGTCCTCTGTAGAGTGTCTGTCAACTAAAGAATGCGTCTTATTGCCTCTGTGAGGCCCTACTCTCCCCCTCCCTCTGTGCCTTTTTCTGAATCTAACAGGATGTAGTCAAGCATGTCTATTCTTTCAGGTCTTCCTTTATTGATATTTAAGTAGCAGCAACACTGACTTATTGGACCATCTCTTGGTGTTTATTTCTGTCTCTTATTTCTCTCCTTTCATGCACATGCTTAGATGGGCATGTGCCTATGAAGTCTGTGACCACAGGCTCAATGCTCAGAGTTCTGGTACAACACACAGCACCAGATTTGGCTGTCACAGCTCTAAACCAGGCTATTCTCATTTCTTACTCAGGTCGTCCCCTATCCTCCACTGTCTTCAGTTGCCCTTTATTCACTTATTTCATCCATAAAGACTTTAAATTGGTTCTGGAGTTTTCATCTTTTTATTTTCCACTTTAAGAGAAGTAAATGCTGGGCTTCATTTGATGATTACAAAAATAATGTACTAATGTATGGGTATTACCATATTTCATTAGGAGTCAATCCAATACTATGTGTATTTAGCAGAATAATAGTAGCAGGCTCTCCTGTAGGGCCTGTAACCTATCTAGTCACAGGTTCCTAAGTCTAATATCAGTGTCAAGTATGGACAACATCTTGTGAAGCATAACATAAATCCAATCAGAATGTGGGTGGTTTCTCCCATAAAGTCCATGCCACTACTGCAAAAATGGTCATACCCTGTCATACCAGCTATAGCTCTCAGGATACACAACTGGGTAAGGTTGATTGATACTTTTCTCTTCTGGTACCAAGCATAGCACCTTCCAGCATTATGAAAGATAGCCAGTAGAGATGATGATTTGAAGTCAGTGGCACCTTGATTTCTCATTGTTTGTTCCATAACTCATGTATGAACTGTCTTAAGCAATAGGGAGAGTCTTACCATCACAATACAGTGTTACTGAGCCAACATTACAATTATGTTGAAAACATAAATTCTGATTCTTAAATTCTGTTTTTAAGAGTGGGCCCAAACACAGAGAACACCCCTGCTCCTAGATGTCTTTTGTAACTGACTCTGGAACTCTGTTTCTCAAACTTTGTCCCTTGTCAAGCCAGGTCTGTAATCTTATTTCAAAAGATTTCCCCTGCTATTTTAAGGAAGTACAAGTTTGGCTTCACCCTAATCTCAACATCAGGCCTTTTCATTCTGATTTCTAGAATATCTCTCTCATCCAGGGTTGTAAATCCTTCCCAATATCCACTGTGTGCAATGGTGATGGATGGATGAGCTGCCTTTAGTGCTTTGATATATTAGTTCTCAAGCATACCCACATTCATCCATTCATTACTTTTTGAATGGAGTACAAATCAGAGATTGCCAAGGAAACACCCAAGTCATTAGACCCAAGACCAGATGGTTTTACTGGGTTAATTAAAAGTCATTAGTCGAGATTCTTTCCATTTTCTAAAAGTCATCCATACACAAATCTAGTATCCACATATTATAGAGAATATGTAATCATTGTCTTTCTGGTCTGAGTTATCTCACTCAGAATGATTATTTCTAGTTGCTTCCATATACCTATGAATTTCATAATTTTGTTTTTCTTAGCACCTGAATAATATTCCATTGCATCTCTCAGTTCTCATCAAAGAAGCCTCCTCATGCATTCGGTAGTGATTAACGCAGAAGCCTACAACTGGCCAGTGTGCAGAGAATAAAAGACGGCAAGTGCTTATCGATGAACAGGACACCTATATCAAACCTCTGCTACCCAAGGCTCAAGGAGCTCCAGAAGAAGGGGTATTAGAGAGATCTTGAGAGCCAGAGGTGGTAGATGACCACAAGAAAACAGTTTTCCAGACAGCTGAGCAGATACTCAAATAAACTCTTAATGGTGACAGTGTGCACAAGACCCATAGGAGCTTTGGCCAGACAAAAGTCCAGCACAGAAGTAAAAAGCCCCAATACTTGGTGAGAAATATTACTAACAGATAGCTGCTGGAATAGGGAGAGTCAATTTTTTAAGGCTGTGAAACTGAATCGGTTAACCAGGCTTCAATGGAAGGACCCACACAGAAGGGCAATTTGGGGACATAAATTTGACTCACTAGGCCTTAATATATATATCATATTACATGATTGAGCAGGAGATATTAAGTAGAGAGCACAGATAGGAAATTGTAAAAATGATTAAAATATATTGTATGAAATTCACAAAAATTCAATAAAAATAAAATGAAACCAAAAATAGCACATAAGAAAATGTCCACACAAGCTCAGTAGAAATGATAAAAAATCTGGTGATTTTACCATTAAATGTGACATGATTTGATAATGACTATCTGTTGTGATTAGAACTGGATTATTAAGATATGTCCATGCCTGATTGTCTTCTGTAACATACAACTCACAATTCTCCATTTTTGCACTTGTCTGCATGATTTATTTAGCTCTGTCAGTTTTAGGAGTTGGTTTTGTGCATGCAGTTTCTCATTGGTGCAGATTCTATTCACTTGTTTGCCATTCTCTCATTTCTTCACTTAGAGCACTTTGAAGCAAATATCTATAATATTATATATATATACACACACATAAATATGTATATATAAGTAAATTGTTGAATTTTAGTTACTTGTAACATTAAGCTTTTTTACTCTTAATTTTATCAGCATGTATTAATTAGACAATTAGGACTGATAAGCATCTTCATTTGAAGTCATCATATAAGTATATTAAGTATTTTGAGCATATTTACAACCTCTCCATATTATTGTTATTGACCATCTGTTAGAGTATTTGCTGTTCCTCTTCCAATTTCTATGCTGACCAAACAAGGATTCTCTATGAGTGTATTCACTCAGAAATGTTAAAGTTGGTTGGCAGTATTTCATTTAGGGTTACATAGAGCTCTAGGAAAGCCAGATAACTATAATCTCACCATAATGTGTCCTCAGGAAGTTGGATTATGTTTTCTAGCATGAGTTAATATTAGAGCCTCAGAGCTCATTTAGTGATAGAAGAGCTCAGAAAAACAAGTCATGAAACATACGCAAGAGGATTGATTAACTTCCCATTTTCTAGATCAACATTCACTTGGGAGGCCATTTCAGCTGGGGGATACGAAGATATTCATAGAAGAGAGATCATGTAATCAGAGGACAAAGCAGAGTATTCCAGGACTAGGAATGGCTTATCCCTGGTCTGGGGCACAACAGGACTCTTCAGACAATTCTTGGAGTTTCTACTTCCCTCTTATCATTTTGATCTTTAGGCTCAAAAAGCAGCAGAAATAAAGAAATGAGCATCTGGAACCTAGGACAGTGATGTAACTGACATGAAGCTAGAGGTGCTCCCTCCATGTATCCTGTTGAATGGACACAGTTGTTGAATGGACACAGTTGGCAATAGTTCTTCTCAAGTGACAATGTTTTCTTTCTGCATAAAAATGCCCTGTTTGTTAGCTTCCTGGCTATCCTCACTGCCTTCCCTATAGATGAGAAGAAGGAATAAAACATCCCTGACCCCTGACAATGGAAGAATTGCCTTCATGCTTAACCAAATTATCAAGTGGCAATTAAGTACTGCTGAAGTAAGGCACATCTTCCCTCCTCCTTTACTGGAATATACTCAGTCTTTTAGTAGCCCAAAGGAAGTCGGGGTGGTCAGGAGGCTAAGTCTCTTCATGCAAGGTAAGGAACTTGTCTCTCTTCTAATGAAATGTGCTGTCTCTAAGCATTTTATGGCAATAAATAGAATACAAAGCAAACCCTAAATACTTAAAATACAGCATGAGATTCCATAGTACTTTGAGGTTCATTGCCCTTTCAATCACTCTATTTTAAGATTTTAACATTAAAAGAGAAATAATTAGGAATTATAGAGGGATTGTGTTATTTTCTAGACCTGAGTCTATCTTCCTGGAAGTAATCATAATGCCCATCTTTGGTTCTTTTATTTTTTATTATTTTTTAATATTTTATTTGTTATTTTTATTTTGGTGAATGAGTGTATTGTCTGCATGTAGGTAATGCCCATGGAGACCAGAAGAGAGTGCTGGATTCCCTGAAACTGGAGTTACAGGTGGTTGTAACTCCTGCCATATGGGTGCTGGTAACCAAACCTGGGTCCTCTGCAAGAGCAGCCAGTGCTCTTAAGCACTGAGCCATCTCTCCAGCCCCAATTCATTTAAGATTTGATTAAAAGCCAGAAATATGGAAATGAAAAAGCAAAGTTACTTATTTGCCAATGAGAAAGATATCATCTTATTGGTGTCAGGTTAGTTAAACTCCCGAGCCTCTGATGCTACAAATCTAGCATTATATTAGCAAAATTTCAATGAGTCATCTATTCTAGGAAGCTAAATGTATCAGGAATAATGGAGCTCTGGAACTCAACTTTGGGAAGTGGATTCATCTTGGTGGGGATTCTGGATGGCGGTAGCTCTCCTGAACTGCTCTGTGCCACAATCACAGCCCTGTACTTCTTGGCCCTGACTAGCAATGGACTGCTGCTCGTGGTCATCACAATGGATGCCCGGCTCCACGTGCCCATGTACCTCCTGCTTGGGCAGCTCTCTCTCATGGACCTCCTCCTCACATCGGTTATCACTCCCAAGGCTGTCATGGATTTTCTTTTGAGAGACAATACAATCTCTTTTGGAGGATGTGCCTTTCAGATGTTCCTGGAATTGACATTGGGTTGTGCAGAGGACCTCCTTCTTGCTTTCATGGCCTATGACAGGTATGTGGCCATTTGTCATCCTCTGAGCTACATGATCTTCATGAGGCCAAGGGTCTGCTGGCTCATAGTGACCACCTCCTGGGTCCTTGCAGCCCTTATCGCCACAGGATTGACCATCTACACTATGCAATATTCATTCTGCAAATCACGGCAGATCAGACACCTGTTCTGTGAGATCCCTCCCTTGCTGAAGTTGGCCTGTGCAGACACCTCCAAATATGAGCTTGCAGTTTATTTGATGGGTGTTATGATGTTAATTCTCCCTCTTGCTGTTATCTTATCCTCCTATGCTCGAATTCTTTTCACAGTGCTCCACATGCCCTCTAATGAGGGCAGGAAGAAAGCCCTTGTCACCTGCTCTTCCCACCTGATTGTGGTTGGGATGTGGTATGGTGGTGCTTCATTCATGTACGTCCTTCCAAGTTCCTTCCACAGTCCTAAGCAAGACAACATCCTCTCTGTTTTCTACACAATTGTCACCCCAGCTCTGAATCCCCTCATCTACAGCCTGAGGAATAAAGAGGTTACTGGGGCTTTAAGGAGAGTCTTGGGAAGACAGTTGTCAACAAATCCTACCTTCTAGGCAACTCTAATAGCTTCCTTCTAAACTTAATTCCTCCTCAAAGCCAGATATATCTCGAGTGAAATCCTCCTGAAAAAAACCAAGATAGTAAAAAATATAGTTTTTAAAAATATTTTTATTGATTCTAGAATTTCATAAAATATATTTTGTTCAGGCCTCCTTGGCCAGCTCCACCCTTCTCCTTAATTCCCCCTGGATTTCATGCCCTCTATCATTATTTGTTTTTCTTTTTTAGAGAACTATGGGAGGTGGCAATTCTTGTTAAATGCTCCTTGAATCTTTTCTCCATGAAATAGTTTAGACAATAAGATTCACACTGTTAAAAGTTATTCTTTGTCTTTAATCATCTCTGTAGCTCATTAATTTAGAAGGTCTAAATTACCCACTGGACACGAGCCCTGAGACTTTAAGCCTATACTGAACCAAGAACGAAAACATATATTTTTAGGTGGCTGACTCATAAACTGTTACAAGGGATCCTTGAGGACTGTACAATTTTAAATACAATAATGTTGACAAAGTCATATTGACAGTGGCATTTTGCATAATATCTACTTGGTAAACGTTTACCTCATATTCATTCTTCCTCTCTTTCCAAGTATCTGCCTCTGTGGATGTTCTGAATGATGCCTTTGCTTAGACTGCATGTACATATACATGTGCATACGTGTTTCTATGCCTTTCTTTTTTAGTGATGGGAATTTCAGTGAACGTTTATAATTCTATCCCTTGAAAAATAAAATCAAACAGCAGAATAGAATCATGTTTTCCCTGTGTTTCTTAATCATGTCATGAACTATTTCAACAATCGCTAAGGATCCATATGCCTGATATGTGTACCTGACTTAAACATTACACAATGTGTACGTGTGTCAACATATATGTTTCCAGTTTCAGTAAACTGAAATTTGATTTTTTGAGAGTAGACGACATTTATTATTTTCTTACTAACTTGAATATGTTTTACTAAGCATCAGGCTATTTCTATTTGTGAAATTTTCTGTTCAGTTAATGGACTCTTTATTCTTTGAACATTTCATGCATATATGCAATATATCTTGGCCATATCCACATGAGTTCCATCCCTCCATGTCTCTGCTTTCCCCCTATCCTTAACATATCTACCTCTCAACTCCATGTCCTCTTTTTTTCTTAATAATCCAGTGAGTCCAGTTTGTGCTTCACTTAACTGTAGGGTCATCCACTGAGTCATGAGTAACCTACCCATTGCCACCTGTGTGGTTTGCATGATAATGTCTCCCATAGACTCCAAGTATTTGAACACTGTCCCTAATTGGGAGCACTGTTTTAGAAGGCTTTTGGAGGCATGACCTTGCTGAAAGAAGCATATCACTGCAGAGGGAGGCTAGCTTTGAGAGTACACAGCCATGTGGAGTTTCAGTCTGTCACTGTCTGCTTCTTTGCTTACTCAACTTTCTCCTCTGGCCACTTACTGCTGCCATGACCTCCCGATCAGTGTGGATTCTTGCCCTTCTGGGACTGAAAGCCAAATAAATTATTCCTTCTATACATTGTGTTGGCCATGTTGTTTCATCACAGCAAAAAATTAACACACACCACCTGAAAAAAGAAAAGTGACTGTCCCTTCCTCAGCAGCCTCCTCACTCCTCCACATCCTCTAGTTCTTAAATCCTTCTTCTCCCCTCTTTATTGATCTTCTGTGAACTTTGGATACAAGATTGATAAAGATGTCCTATCTACACCAAGCCTCCAGAGTCACTCGCCTCAAACATTTGAATATTTATGTGTCTCTGCATTATCCACTGCTCTCAGGAATGAAAAAAACCTCTCTGACCAAGATTGACAGCCGCACAAATCTATGGACAGAAACATAAATATTTTGGAGGCAGTTTGACAACATGATAATTTACAAAATCAGCACACATAGGTTTTTCTCTAGAGCCTATGATTTTTCTAGCCACGTACCTGACCGTGCTTAAAGTAGTGGGACTGAGTTCCTTCCTGTGGAGCAGTCCTCAAATCTATTCAAAATAACAGTTGAGGAGTGGAGAGATAGCACAACCATGAAAGGTTAAGGCCAACAACCACAAAATGAAAAGAATAATTGGTTTACTCCATATGCAGTCTTGTAACTGTTGCACCAGTGGGCAAATCTTTCCTGGCATGTTGATATTATAGCATGCAGGGTCCAGAACTGACTAAGACCATTGATACCATCTCTCTACTAGTAGCCTGTATAGTACATTCCAGCACCATGAAAATTATTCAGTAGATAGAGAGGTTCCTGGTGAGTTCAAGGCTGATTTCTCTGTGCAATGTAACCTGTGTGTATAGTATACACAACAATAGTGTCTTATCATGTAATTATGCAACCAAGAACAGTGGCAGAAGCCTGTACTCTTTGGGATACAGCTAGGACTCCCTCACCAATCGCTCATAGGGAGGTTTCCCATGCATGGCAGTGAGATTTTCATTTAATAATCCATGTTGTCTATGAACAACATTGTTTACCCATGCAGGGTACCTTTATTCAAATTCCTTTTAAAAATCATATTTCTAATTTAATTAAATTAAAAGCTAATAGGCTTTCATAAGGCTTTTTCATTCATTCTTAGATTTAGTTACCCATCATCCATACCACCTTTCTCCCTGTCTTCTGTTCTCATCCCCACTTAAAGCTTTAATTCTCAGTATCCCCCCACCTTATTGGCTCATATAACACGTGGTCTGCTATCCCCTTTTATTATATTATTTTTAACTTGCATTGCAAGATCATAGGTTCTCACATGCCTGCTTCTTGAATACTTCCTTTTGAGTAAGCCTTCTCTTGCCCCCTCATTTCCTTGTCTCTGTTATTTTACTCCCTGTTTGAACCCTTTTGTTCCCCAATAGTGTTCTTTCTACTTTCTTTATGCTTATACTTACCATACTAACTCCCTAAATGGCTTCCCCTGTTTACTTCTAGGTTCTGGGATTCCACATGTAAAGTCTCTGGGATCTCCCTATGTTCATGGACCAACCCCTGCTCTTACAATCTTTCTGCCACTTTCTCCACAGTGGTCCCTGAGCTGTGTGTGGGTGAGGTTTAATATAGGAGCCCCATCCAGGGACACACATTCTGCAGCCTTTTACTCTCTAAAACTTAGACAGTTGTGGCCGTCTGTGTCCATCACACTCTGCCACAGTGTTGTTTATTGAATATTCATGGATTTTCTACAATACATCTTAATCATATCTAGAGCCCCTCCCATATCTGGAGCCCCTCATAGACTACCCACAGGATTTCATGCATTCTTTCTTATATGTTAAGACATACAGAGTCAAGTTTTTCTGCTGAGATATTACTCAGTGTGAGTTCATCTTCTGGAGCCTGTTCAGCCTTTCTAACATCACTCAGTTAAAGTTACTCTTATAGCAGGTCTTCCCAGCCTAGTCATCACTGTAGCTCTCTGGATTCACAACTGGGTAGTAATGAAAATTATTTTCTCTTATGGTAACATGCATAACACCTTGCAGCACTATGACAGCTAACCATTAAGGATGAAGTTTCCAGGTCAGTACAAACTTGATCTCTCCATGTTCTGATTCAGGCGTATGGTTTTTCAGCAATAAGTCCTACCATCAAACTCTCAAGGATCACCAAGGGCAAAGCCAAAAGTCTGTAATGTTTTGAGAGTCTATGGGATCCCACTGGCCATCAATTCAAAGAGCGGCAACTTATTCTTGGTACTGACATTTTATTTGCTAGGATGAGTTGTCTAACTGAGGTATTTTGTCTATTGTAGGGTAACTTCACTTAATATCTTTTTATATATGTGTATGTGCTTATTTTAGTATTTTATAGACACGGATTTCCGTATTGTTTTCTTAAAAGACCTTTAGTGTTAGTTATTCCTCCCCACGTTCCCTCCTCTATTTTACCATCCTATTTCCTGCTCCATTAATCTTTTCCACTTCATTATTTCCCTTTCTCCTTTATATCACTGTATTCTATCTCTAAGTCCTTGAAAGTCTGACCATTCCCTGGTGGACCCTTACTAGCTGCCTAACATATAGAAGGACTTCAAATGAAACATACATACTTAAAGACTCAAAGGTAGTATCCACATATGAAAGAAAATGTGATTTTTTTTTTCCTGGTTCTGGGTTACCTCACTCAGGTGATTGTTTCGGTTTCATACCTTTACCTGATGCTTCTTGCAAAGGCTTTTTAGCACACATCTTGTAAAACCAATCAATTTCTCTTATGATTGTAGCATCTAAAATCTTGTCTGTGGGATCTCAGAAAATAAAGTCACAAAACTCAAGAAAAGCTGTTTTACAATTCCAGAATTGTAAGCTATGTGTTAACAATTATTTAATGTCTCAAGTTTTGAATAGATAATGAAAATGTGTTACATTACACAATGGAGTTTTTTCAGTTTTAAAGAAACATGAAAACATGAAATTTGAAGATAAGTGGATGAAACAAGACATTGTTACACTATGTGAAGCACCATAGACTCCAGAAAGCCAGCAACACGTGTTCTATCATTTGTAGTCCTAGCTCCAAAACTTTAGATGTGAGTATATTTACTAATGTAACCACAAGAGAAAGGAAAATAGAATGGAATGATAGGAGAAGGAGAAGAAGGAACTTTAAGTTAATAGAGGCGGAAATGGGAGAGGAGAGAGAGATAAAAAACACTTAAGTGTTGTAAAAAAAACAAAGGGAAGTATAGGATTCCATAACCTTACTGAAGAATCCACATATAACATACATGTGGGTAAATGTGTCTAACTGAAGGCTATATAATAAATATCACAATGCCAGATAAGGGAAACCTCCCTTTGAGTTGTTGATCAGGGAAGGACAAAAGACTCCCAAAATAATGTGGGCTATTGCCAAAGCCCTTGATTGCCTCCCAGAAGTTGAAATTAAAACACTATTGTTAAAGACATGATATACTTTGGACATAGAACTTTGAGCAATTGAGCTGGAACTGACTTGGAAGACTTCTCCTGGAAAACTATCTCTC